CCAAAAGAAACTTTTTGCTCCAGCACTGGGCCAGGCTGTTCGGTCCCAACACCTCGATCCCTCTTCTCTGCCAGCATCGCACCACACCTATGTCTTGGCACCTCCTCCGACACCAGCAGCTCAGCTAGCTGTTCTGCAGTGCTGTTTGCAATGCTGAAGGTCCAAGGATACAGATCCCCCACGTTGTTCTCCGGAGGCTGGCCAATCCCGGAGCCCTTCTTTCCATCCGAACCATTCGGCAGGGCTCCAACATCAATCTCCTTCACGATGAACTCCCTCGATGAGTCCGCACTCCTCGCTGTCGCAGCACCCTTGGGCCCTACATTGGAGCCCACTAGGTCCTCCTGCTCCTCGTCTTCTTTCAGCTCAGCAACGCGCCTCTTCGTGGTCATGCCGTTCGAATCGGCACGGCCGGTGAGCTCCCCACGGAGAGCTGCCTCTGCCTTGGCGAACCGGTTCTTCCGCAGGAACTCAAGCACCAGATCAATGTTCTCCGACATGGTTCCCTCCAATACCAGCTAGCCCGGAAGCGAGAACCCTGCGAAGAAATGCTTACAGTGAGGCCGAAGAAGAGCTGAAGGCAGCACCTTGTTGCAGCCCAGCTCCCAGACCAGCCGAATCGAAGCTCCGGACGCTCGGGGACTTAGTAAGCAACCCAATGCCGCGGCGCCGGCAGCCGCAGATCGGCGCCTCTGCCTCGAAAAGCCCCCTGACAAATCAAGCTTCCGTGGAGCTCCTCGGAACCGCGGGACCGCAACCAAGCTGAAGAGACCAGCGCAACCCACACCCTAAGCGCAACGCGCGCCCGTAGGGGGGAGGCGCGAATCCGCGGGGGAGGGGACCGCGAGGCGACAGCCCCGGAAACCCTAGCGGCCGTCGCCGCACCCCGCGCCGGCGCGAGCGAGGCGGAGGCGGTGCAAGCACGATGGGGGCAGCGGGCCTGTGGCGGTCAGCGGGACCCCTCGCCGCCGAGAGCGGAGGGCGGCCGAGCGGGAGCGGATCCGGCGGCGGCGTGGCAGCGGCGGCGGCGGAGGCGGCGGGGAAGGCGCATCGGGTGGGGGGGATCAGGGCGCGGCCGGCGCGGCTGGGGGCAGCGTATTCGGGGTGGTGGTGGTGGTACGCGTGCGCCAGACCGGAAAGAGCCCCAAGACCCAGCGAGAGAGGAAAAGAAAGGGAAACGGGAATTTTTTTTTCCCCTCTCTCTCCTTTCTTCCCGTTCCAGCTCGTTTGGTGTCTTGCGGGATCGGGGCGGGGGACGCCGATTCGCACTGCGCAGATAATCCTCCTTTTTTGTGCGTTGCAAATTGCAATGCAAAATGGCAAATCGTAGCTCTAAGGCGTTCAAGACCCCTGGTCCCGTGTGGGTGTAGCTGGATGGGCTTGAGCTCGAGCCTCATGGACAGGCGGAAGTGACGTCCGTGGCTGGGACTGGGAGAGGCTGTACCGCTGGACGAACAGGAGGGAAACCGGTACGTGCGACCGTTCGGCCGGCAGTGCTGGCTGCGCAGCCGGGGTCTGTCCATACAGATACAGATACAGAACCGTCGCCCTCACCCCTGACGGCAGTCTTTTCCTCGTTGAAATTGTAGCATATCATCCTACATGATGCGTGGAAATAAGTTTTGTTATTTTAGATAATTGACTGATAGAGATCCGCCTTTAAGCCTCAGTAAAAAGTTTAGGACGTTTTCATACTTTTTTTCATCTTTGTGTTATGACTTTGACCATAGCTTTTCTATTGGAAATATAGTTTGTGATGTATTGATGTCTAATAAATGTATATGATTATGAAAGTGTTATTCAAAACAAGTACTTAATACCATATTTATATCTCTAAATCAAATATTTTAAGAGTTATTCATGGCCTAAAGTTTTGAAAGATGGACCAAATTTTAGTTAAAATGTCTTGGATTTGCGATTGATGTGTTTGTGGTGGCGAGGAGCTAGGTTTTTTTAGGGGAGGGGGGCAGCAAGTGCTCTACCTTTTCATTATAGAGTTGGAAAAAAACATTTATAGACTTGTCTCCGTGTTTAGAAAAACACCGTCGACGATGTGGTTGTGAGGAGCTAGGTAAGGTGACAATCAACCATTCTTCTATCAACATCGTCGACGATGTGGTTGTACTGTGTTTCATAGTTTTTAAAAAGGGAAACCATAAGAAAAATAAAGCGGTTGTTGAGATTTAACACTAGGGCAAGCAACACATCTGCCTTGAGGTGTTAGTAACTTTGGACTAGATAACTCTGGATCTCCGGGTGAAACCAAATGGAGCCTATGTCAATCGATATGTCGCTCCACAAGAATTATGGTTATGCTCTCCTGCTGTCCATGCATAGGTGTTAGTAATTTGTTGATGAGTTGTTTTTTACTCCTCGTAAAAATAGTGTGCTAAAACTTTACATTAAGTTATTATTTTTATTTTTATATTTTTTTGAATTACATAATTTAGATGCACATGAACTCTCTCCTGCGAACTTACGCACACAGGTACCTTAGTGTCACGAGCACGTCATCTCGCACCGAGAAAAAAGCTAGAATAAATCTAGTAAAATATGAGCACCCATACAAATTGAGAATTTAAACCAAGATAAATAAGTTCAACATAAAGAACCTAAACAGTTGAGTAAACTTGCAAAGTTCCATTATATTTTTGATAAACTACCGCAGAGTGCAGTAGTCAGATTATTTCCAGGCCTTAAATGGGTGCATCAGATAAGTTGCCATGCTAGTACCGTCAGCAGGACGCTCTCTCCAGACCTCGTTCTCGAATCTCGAGTCAAAGTCCAATCAGGCGCCATCTTTCTGTTTGTTCACTGACCCTTTATATCCATTAAGAATCCAGTTCAACTGCCGGACGGCCCGAACCCTCAGTTTGTTGGATTTGGAAACGATAGTGCACTGGTCAAAGAATCGTGCGACTTTTAAAGTGGAAGTGGACGGCACCCAACGGGCAACAGTTGAACGGTCCCATCTCGCAGTCGCAGGACAGGACGCCCGAGGGATGTGGATGTTCCCTCTTTCCCGTTGCCCGTGCCCGCGAGTAATCCACCATCCCGTATCACGCCCCCCTGATTGGTAAATCCCAGTGACCGGTTCGGTACAGCCCCTGCGCCGCGGACTGCGCGATCATGACTTCGGCTTCGGCCGTTTGGCGGCAGCAGGACGAGGCTCGGCGCGGCCCCGGCAGCGCCCGGCAGAACCTGTAGGCGCGATTACAGCCCTTGACGTATAATTTTATCCAAAAAAAGAACCTGTAGGTTTAAATGCGATTACAGCAGTTGGACGGCACCGAATGACGCTGACGCCCCTAAATAAAAATAAAATGCTTATACTAGAACATAACCGAATTGTGACAATGATGAACATAACCAGCTGACAATCATGGCTAAGGCCACCTAAGGCCACCCTTTACTGCTCGGTCTCACAGGATCGCCGTGATCTCCATCAATGCTAAGCCGGCCTGCAATACGATGCATGCCTCTTGCAGTCAGTGTCAGGTACAGGTAGGGTGTTTGGATGCTGTTTGCCTGCACCTGCATGTTGCAGGAACTGCTGCTGCTACTCATCTCATTCATCACATGCAGATGCAGGCTGCACCTCACTCTCCCGTCCTACACACTTATGAGTCTGCTCTCGTCGATCTTCTCTTCTTGCAGTTAAAATTTCTCCAATCAATGCTAAGCTACTAGCAGGCTCAGGGGGCGTTTGGAACAAAGGATTTTTAAGGAAAATCGTAGGAACTAAAACCAAAGGAAAGGAAGTTGACTGGAGTGTTTGGAACATAGAAAGAATCGATTCATTTCCTCCATTTTACTGTAGTTGGATGCTCATTTCACAGGAAATAAAAAATCTACCGGGATCTCTTGGTTTCCTTTCCTTTGCGTATGCCCCGATGCACTGCCCGTGAAGAAAACAAGAAAGAAGGGAGCGTACCGCAGTCTATCAGGTTGTCAGTGACCCAAACATTTCAGCTAACGCAAGTGAAGCATGTTGCTATTTTTTTTTCTTTGTTACTTCATGCGTTTTTCCTGTGTTATAGATTCCTGCGTTCCAAACACCCCTTCTAGTTATTTCCTGTGTTTTTTTTCTCTGTTTTACCATCACACACTCACCCCATTCCTACATTTTTTTTCTATTCCTATGTTTTTTATTCCTACGTTCCAAACAGGCCCTCAGGGTTGCTATTACGCAGATGCGGTCAGCGACTCCACACTACAGGGTCTCCAGTACTCTCCATCCTCCACACGTCTATCTGACCTGAACCGAAAGAAAGCTACATCAAGATTACAAAAAAAAATGTCTATCGAGAAACAGAAACAAAAGCACCACTGCTACTAAAGCTAATACATCACTATATGCATAAACAAATATGTCAGAGTAATGGGTAACCGATAACTATAGGAACAAAGTCTTCATTTCCGACGTCAAGATAGTGTCGTCTGATATTGCCAGAGAGCAACAGTGTCTGTATTACTTCCTGTGGTCATACCCATACCTCACCACCAACGTGTACATGCAGTGCACAGCATTTGAGGATTTCTTGTTTTTTAAATTGAAAAACAAAAGTGCGAAAGTGTACAAAAGTGTCCGCACGAATCTTGGGGTAGAGATGGAATCATGGAATCGGGAAATTGAGACACAGACGGAAGGAGTTCTATGGACCGAATTGATAGTTTTTTTTTAGCAAAGGACCGAATTGATAGTTGGGAGGAAACGGTTTGTATTTGGGCTTCATTTTTTTATGCCTATTTGGGCTTCATTTGAGCGGTGATAATTTAAAACGAGATAATAGTTGAGGGACGTTACAGTGGCATTATTTTTGTCCAAAACTTGTCAGGATTTTGCTCCTACAATAACTGAAACTAATTATTTCGTAAAGTTGTACTAGTACTGTGTTTTATCCAAAAATACAACCCAATGCAACCGCACAGGTTGGTGACCTAATTGTACATAGCTGAGTACAAAATATTATCAATCACAACAATGATAATCTGAAATCCTAAAATGATAGACTAGCTTCCAGGTTCCCTAGTACACATAAAATGGTTTCCACAATGACAGGATCCGCGCCCAGCAGTCTCTGCAACTGCGCTTCCACCGGCCGCGGCGCGTCCGAGCCAAAGACGTCACCGACGAACCTGTACACCAGAGCAAAGTCCGGATGGTCCGGAGACAGCGGAAGCTGACGAATCGAAATCGTCTCGTCCTCCGACATGACGGCGTCATCATCCGCAAACGAGGGCAGCCAACTGATGGGTGGCTGCGCCTGGCGGACGGCGCCGGCGCGGCGAGGGTGCGCCGGCGGCACCGCGAGGCCCATCTTCTGAGCCCTGAGGAAGTGCTTCTGGGCGTGGCTGCGGATCTGCGTGGCTGTCTTGGTGGCGACGAATGCCTGGATCCTCTTCCAGTCGCGGCCGTGCAGCACCAGCGCGTGGAGGAACCGGTCGTGCTCGTCGGCGGTCCACTTCTGCCGAGGATTGGTGATGGTGTACGGCTTCCGGAGCTTCTTCCCCGCCATGCTTGTAGACTTCGCCGCTACGACTGCCGTCATCGTCGTTTGTTCACTCTGTGTTTCGGCCTGTCTCCGTCACTCTAGCTTCTTGAGCAGAAGAAGCGAGAGCACGTATGAGATGAGAGCGGAGGATTGAGAGTTTTCGGCCTGGTGTGTCGTGTGTGCTGGTGTTCAGAGTGCGTGAACATATATATAGGGATCGATGAAGCCGCGCTCAAGTGAGCATCGGATGCAGAAAACGTGTGGCCGATACAGCGCATGTGCTCAGCAAGCTTGAGGGGATTACACACGTGCACGCGGATGCGAATTGCGAGCGTGTTAGGCGGACGCTGCTAGATAGCCCTTCCGAGGGATCGGAAGCTCTCAATTGTTGTCATGCTGTGCAAGGCGGGGAGCGTTTGGCCGATCTGCGACGTTAAGAGTTAGGTGAAAGACGTGCATTTCTGGGCTGCTTTGAACAATCTGATCATCAACGAACGGGCCCTTATTCTCCCATGTGTGTTGAGGTATATAAATATAAATTGGTTGTGCTTGATTCCTTTCTCCACGAAGATCTCGTTCCAAGTTATAATTAGAACACAATTTTTATATGGACCAGCCTGCGTTCCTGGACCTGTGTATGAAACCAACAAAACAGTGATTTTTTTTAAAGCCAACGACAAATCAACTTTACTTGATTGTAGAGGAGACACACTGCTAAATTGTGTATATGGTTTATGACTTGTTTTGATCCATTAACACTAAAAATTAGCAAAGCTAGCTAAACTTTAGTAGGGAATTGTTTGGATCCACTTGTTAATAGATGGTTGGATAGTGAGTTGAATATACATATGAGCTATTAGCATCTATTATAACTTCAAACCTGTCAATAAAATTAATAGTTAGCATCCCATCTATCTAATAATTAACATATTTATTAGTAGGTCTATTTTGATCCACTAGTACTAATTATTTTAGCTGCTAGTTTTTAGTGCTAATGATCCAAACACACCCTTATCCAGCGCATTCAGCCGGTGATATTTGGAACCCAATTGCAGATATAGCACCACGTTGGCCATTGTAGGGTTGGCCATCCAATGGTCGAAAGGCTTATGCGGCACCGATGTGGTAGTCGATTGTTTTCCCACGGCCCTATCGCCGAGTGGAGGGCCGACATGCCGTGTCGATCGAAGGAACACCAACAACTTCTCGGTCAGACAAGACGATGGGAAACCAACTAGGCCGTCAACAATTGAAGGGCGGACACGCTTATGAGGCCTTTTTTGAAATTGAGAAACGAATGTTGTACTTTGTTTGAAAACAAATAATTTCAAGGAGTTCTTATTTGGAAACAATTAAAATTTTACAAAATTATTGTTTATATGATTTTTTTGGCTAAAAATGTATTTAAAGTGATTGGATGGACTACGATGGTATGAACAGCCATTTAAACCTAATAACACATCGCTCAAGATCAGTGGTAAAGCTTGAAATAAGATCTAAAATGAGGTAGTAGTGCCAAGCTCAAGAGCATATTATTAATATTTAAGCCTTATAGTTGTTGTTTACTTCAAAAAAATCTTAAAGGCTGAGTTTTTTAATCCATATCTATAGTTTTTTTTTGCATGACACCTCTGTATATATTCAATTTTCATTTAGTTGAAACTTAGTTTAAATTATGATAGTTTTTGTTGCAGGCCATGTCTCACGCATCATGAATCTATATTTTGATTTTTAAAATTATATTATCATTTGTTACAAAACTGTTTTACTTAAGTTAAGTTGAATCTCTTATAATTATTGTATCTTTATTAACTCCCCTTTTGTATTTTATTTGAAATACTCCCCGTTCTAAATTATAAGTCACTTTGACTTTTTTTATTCATCCATTTTGCTATGTATTTAGACATATTATTTATCTAGATGTATAGCAAAATAGATATATAAAAAGTTAAAGTGACTTATAATTTATAACGGAGGGAATAATAAATAAGTCATAGACTACACTTAAGTTTTACGGTGGCATAAATGGATATTTAAACCTGTAACAGACTCAAGATTGGTGGTAGAGCTTGAAATGAGATCTAGTATGGGGTAGTATACTCTAAAGGAATCTTAAAAAAACCTTGAGGTAGTGCCACCTTTAGAGTAGATTTGATGGGATATTTTAGTTTTCTAATAATGGTAAAAGTGGTAGTTTAGATGCAAATTCAGGGTTGCATAGATTATCTATCATAATTGCATTTGGGTAATTAGGTGAAAATTTTGGGTTACTTTAGACATGTTTCATAATGGTATAGCCAGATAATTTAGATACAGATTCATGGATTACTATATGTTTTTTTCATAATCGCAGAGGTAGATAATTAATTATAAAATAGAATAGATCCAACGATTATTATTATCAATTGTGGATAAAGTCTACCAAATCGGTGGCCAAATATTTTGTTTCTTTGTGAGAATTTCTTTGCTTTATCCTTTTTAAGTGTTTCATGGGGACGAACGCAGAGACTTCGCTCATACCTCTACCAGAGGTTTCTCTCTTTTTTCCCAAGTGTGATTGTATTCAATTGAAACCTAGTTAGAAATAACTATTGTTGCGTCCCTTTCTTTGGAAAATTTTGCTTGGGAAACGCTCAGCTACGGGCGTCCGTCGTGTCGAATCGCGGTTCTAGTCCTGCCTCCTGCGCAGCGGACCGACGGGCGCGAGCTTGGGCCACGAGCAGGCGTTGGAGAATCGCAGGAGGGCCGCACCGCTGCTGCACCGGTGAGCTCCATGCGCCGCCGCCGACCTTCGCGCCGGCATCGAGCTCCGCAACGACAAGCGTTCATTTGTCCAAGCAGCAAGGTGACATTGTGCTAAAAGTGCATATTGCAAGCGTATGTTTAAGTGTTTCAGATATTTCAGAGGTATGTTACAAAGTGTTTTCATGCGAATGTTGCAAAAGTAGATCGCGATGTTGCATGTGTTGCAATGGTTGTACATGTATGTTACAAGCTTATGTTCCCATGTTTCATATGTTTTTTCAGACGCATGTTGCAAGTATGTTTATTTGGATGTTGTATATGTTTCACATATATGTTGTAATTGTTTTATCTGTATGTTGCGTATGTTTTACAATGGTCTTGAAGTGTTTTTCATGTGTTTTTGTAAGTGTTTCATATTCATGTTTCATCTGTTCTCAAACGTATGTTGCAAGTGTTGCATCTGGATGTTTCAAAAGTTGATTGGGTGTTGCATCTCCCTTCTCTCTTTTTTCTGCTGCCTCGGCTCAGTGTCTCCTCCTTCTCCTAGGACCGGCTGGGCATCCGCCCCCCTCCCCCTCTTCTCGATGCTAGTGACATTCGGGACGACGCGGGCCCCTCGTGGATGCGCGAAACGACGCGGGAAACGGTTGTAGGCGCAGGTGTCCCGACACCGCGTTCGTGCGGACTTCCGGACGCTATTAAGCCCGTTTTTCTTTGCTGATACCTCTCATACATTAACGCAGAGACTTTGGTCATACCTCTCATACATCTTTGTATTCTATATTTTTGCTTCCAATTTTTAAAAGTGCATATAAGCCGTAATAAGTGGGCATGACCCTAGTAAAACGAGAGAATTAAGGGATGTCAAAGTGGCATTTTGTCGTTCGAAAATAAAAGTGGCATTTTGTCTTTCCAAAAATACAACCCAATGCAACCGCACAGGTTGGTGACCAACTGTACATAGTTGAGTACAAAATCCTAAAATGATAGATTGTCCTCCAGGTTCCCAAGTACAGATAAGATGGTTTCCACAATGACAGGATCCGCGCCCAGCAGTCTCTGCAACTGCGCGTCCACCGGCCGCGGTGCGTCCGAGCCAAAGACGTCACCGACGAACCTGTACACCAGAGCAAAATCCGGATGGTCCGGAGTAAAGATGGGCGTGGTTCGGTTCGGTGGAGCGGTTCGTCGAACCGGCCCATAAAAACTATCCAAATGGGCTCCATTCTAACAGCAGATAGAGGATCAGGATCGATGGATCAGAAACCACCGAACCGAAAGATCCAGCGGTTCGATCCACCTTTATCCTGGTGCTGGTGAGGGCCCCGCGGCGCGGGCGGTGCAGCAGCCTTCCGGCGACCGTGACCGCGTCGATAGCGCCCGTCCTCACTGCCCTCATGTTCTCGGCGGCTCGGCGCTCGCTCTTGCTCGCTGCTGCGGCCGGCGTCCGGCGAGCTGTCATCGTACGTGGTGTACCTCGGGCGTCAGCCAGCACGCGCACGCCATGGCGTTGGGGACACAAGGGGCCGAGGAGCTCGAGGTGCTGGAGCGCGATGCTGCCGAGCCAACTGTATGCGGCCTCCTCACCGGCGTCTTTGGCGGAGAGTACGGACGCGAGTTGCAGTTTCTTTCCTTTTTGTGTTTAGGGCCCGCTCCTACACCGCCTCCTCCTCGTCGGAGCTGAGCGCGGCGAGCAAGGTGGGCTTGTGGCCGGCGGCGCGGGCCTTGGCCTTTGCCCTGGCAAAGCGGCGTGCGGCGGCGGAGCTTGTCGATGGCTCATTGGAGCCCTCGATGCGGCCCTGCAGGCGGAGGGGCTTCACGCCAAAGCCGCCCATGGACCATGGACCAGTGCGCTGTGCGCCTCGCATGCCCACTCGAGGAGAGTGTCGATGATGGACGCCGGCGGGTCCATGCAGTCGCCGGGGAAGAAGCGCTGCCTCGGCAGGCTGCTGCCGTAGAACTGGCCGGGTCCCAGCTCTGGCCTCGTCTCTGTTATGAATCTGTCGCTGCTGTCGATAGATTTGTCTCTAGCAGCAGACACAAGCTAAAGTAACTAAAGTTACAGAATGGAGCGATCCGTGAAATCCATTGGAGCCTAGAGGTTCAGCAGCTAATAGAAACGGAGCAAACGGCGCTCCTATGCTAATTAGATGGATTGGTGGATCAGCCACGGTTCGCTCCGTGGATCACCCATCCCCATCTTTAGTCCGGAGACAGCGGAAGCTGACGAATCGTCTCGTCCTTCGACACGACGGCATCATCATCCGCAAACGAGGGCAGCCAGCTGATGGGTGAGGGTGGCTGCGCCTGGCGGACGACGCCGGAGCGACGAGGGTGCACTGGCGGCACCGCGAGGCCCATCTTCTGAGCCCTGAGGAAGTGCTTCTGGGCGTGGCTGCGGATCTGCGTGGCTGTCTTGGTGGCGACGAATGCCTCGATCCTCTTCCAGTCGCGGCCGTGCAGCACCAGCGCGTGGAGGAACCTGTCGTGCTCGTCGGCGGTCCACTTCTGCCGAGGATTGGTGATGGTGTACGGCTTCCGCAGCTTCTTCCCCGCCATCCCGGTAGACTTGGCCACCACGTGAACATATATATATATATATATATATATATATATATATATATATATATATATATATATATATATATATACATATATATATATACACACACTGTTCCGTAGCTGGTCACTTTGAGTTACGATAATTACTATACTAATTTATGAAATTATGGTAACTCCCTCGTAAGTGATTTACTATAATATTATGGTAAGTATCATCTTGAATTATAGTATACCATGTATCGTAAATGTGTATTGTCATTATCGTAAATTGATACAAACATTATCGTCGTAAATCAAGGTGGCCATAGGGATGGATGAGTGAGCATCGGATGCAGAAAACGTGTGGGCGATACGGCGCATGTGCTCAACAAGCTTGGAGACATGTGCAGCGGGTGCGAATTGCTCTCGTGTTAGGCGGACGCGTCTAGGCCTTCCGACGGACCGGAAGCTCAAGCGTTGTCATGCTCATGGCTCATCCTGCAAGGGGGGAGGGGGTTTGGCCGATGTGCGACATTAGGTGAAAGACGCACTATTTCGGGGTTGCTTTGAACCATCTGCGCATAAACGAACGACCCTATATATTCTCCATGTGTTGAGGTATATTGTATATAAATCGTGCTTGATCCCTTTCTCCATTAGGAACTCGTTCGAAATTATAATTATAACACATTTTTCATATGGATCAGTCTGCGTTCCGGGATCATTTTTCATATAAACCAACCAACAAAATAGTGATTTCTTTTTTTTTTTAAAAAATGAACGAACAAATCAACCTTACTCAACTGCAAGGGGAACACACCAAATTGTGTATCTGGTTCACTCAACGCATTTTGTCACTTGATACTGTCAGTATTCGTATTTTTTATGATTTATTCTAAAATTTAATAGTATTTTCTTCATGGTAGACAGCATATTCGTTAACATTAACATGACTAGAAAACTTTGCGCGCTTCGCGGCACCCAGCATCTTGGAAACAATAGTGCACGGTACATATATTTCACATACAACATATGAATACTTTTATTGCTAGTATACCTTTTCAATCATTTTAGGCGGTACAAATATTTCAGTCTCTTCTTTACAAAATCAAACATTCACATATGCTCTTAGCAAAACTGCAAGAGTACATGCTTCAGTTGTCTTCACGACTATCAAAACAAAGACCAATTCACGACTCTACGGCCAACACCCCTGGGTGCATGAGCTGCTAATCGAATAAAAAAAGTGAGCATCACTTCCGGCCAATTCATCACTAAAGTACCTTTTGCTAAGAACAGCGATGAATGCGCATTTTCCAGGTTTCTACATAGGAAAAGCAGAGCATGATCAAATATGTATGTTTAATGTCAAATTCAATGGAAAGTTGTGCATGATCAACAGAAGGCAAATTAGTTTGTACTGCAGATTGGTACCCTTTTTAGCTGCAAGGATGTCATACATCTAAGCGAAATAGCCTCACGCTTAGTAACAAAGGCAAGACATGATTGGTAGAACTATGATGAGGTACCTCAATCAGAGATGGTACCTAGATGTTCCGATGGAACAAACAGCAAAGAATGGGTGATATTCAACGTTCCAAAACTCTGAATCAGCACACGTTATCTGAAAAGGAGAGGAACATCCCTATGACCACAGATATGCATAGTATCAGGTGAGGCAAGCATCGGATCAGGATCAGGTTTCCGAGAAGCAACAAATCACTATAACATGCTAAACTTGAGAAGCAGAATTTTAGACTTTAAGATTATGTCCATGTACAGTTATAATTGCGTCCAATTACTCAAACTGTATCCCAAGTGTATAATACAGCAAGCTAAAGTCCATGAAGAGACAACTATAGTTCTACATTAGCATGTATAAATTCCAGAGGGAAGAATCTAAACCGCAAGCCAACATATTTAGTTCACAGTTTAGTTAACGAACACAGAGGAACTTGTAACAAGGCATTTAAAAAAAACAATAGCAACAGCTCTCTATTAGGAAGTTTAGTAAGCACTAATTTTCTTATTCCACTTTTCATGATTGGTAGGCTCTCTGTGATTTTAGTTTTGTTGTGAGCTACTATCTAAGGTATTGTGAATTGATGGCACTAACAATGCAACTAAACAGATTTATATTAGTTATTATTAGGATGTGAAGGGCAATACATACTGCTAAGGATCAAATGCAGGTCGCTACAATGTAAAGCAGAGTGAATCAAGAGCAAGGAGGAAAGAGTAACTCGAGCTTGTGGCCGACCCAACCTTTGACGACGCGCTGTGCCTTGGTACGCCTGCTCACCGAGTGCCGTCAAGGAGGCTCTTCAGCGCCATCTAGAAGCATCATTCGAGCACAAGCCCAAACCGCCGAGGAGCTCATGACTCAAATCTGAGAGGGAGAGCAAGCACAACTCCATGAAATAGATCTGGGAGAGGAGGCAGAGATAAGGATGGTGAGAAGGGGAGAAGGGAAAGGAGAAGTTGCTTGGCCGTACCCTCAACTGGCGTCACCACCACCGGGGCATCGCTCTGAGCGCCACCGTGCCACACATCTGTACCAACCGTCGTTGCTTGCTATCGCCTGGTGGAAATAGGATGTGGAGGGTAGCTGGGGGCTGCAGAAAGCGGGAACCATGGGGACGGGGCAGCGGACGGAGCATCTCACACCTACGCCGAAGCAAGGAATGTCGTCATATGTATAACCACGCCAGTGCGTGCAGTGCGACGCAAGGCGCAGCGTCGGCGGCGGCGGTGAGGAGAAGAGGGGATTTCTAATTATTTGCCACCGATATGGTGGCCGCCTCTCCATTGGCAGCTTTAGGGTGCCAAATACATATATGCCCCGAAAAACAGTAACTTGCTGCAAGGCGTGGCACGTCAGTTCAGCGCGCCGGCGTGGAACTTGACGTCCCGTCTGCTCCCGTCTAACCAGCGCCAACGGCGCCTTCTTCTCCATCTGTGTTCAGCGCGTACTGTTCTTCATCTTCCTCGGAGAGCGGCGAGGCCACCGGCGTGCCCGCGCGCCCTGGTGAGCGCGGCCGGCGTGGGCGGCGGCAGTGCGCGCCCGAGCTCCAGGGCCTGGAGCGGCAGAGGCGAGCAACGAGGCGGTCCTGCAGCCGCACGTGACACCGTGCGGCACCTCCTCGGCGATGGCATCTTCGGCGCCGACGACAAGGTGTGGAGGAGGCAGCGCAAGGCGGCCAGCCTCGAGTTCCACTCGGCCGAGTTCCGCGCGCTCACGGCCAGCTCGCTCGTCGAGCTCGTGCACCACCGGCTGCTCCCGTGCTGGCCGACGCGGATGCGTGACGAAGACGGGCGCCCGTACACGGACAAGTTCCTCCGCGACATCTGCGTCAACTTCATCCTGGCCAGCCGCGACACCTCGTCCGTGGCGCTCGCATGGATCTTCTCGCTTCTCGGTAAGAACCCCGCCGGCGAGAGCGAAGCCGTTGTCCAGGAAGCTCTCCCTCGCCTTGTGCTCTAGCTCATTCCGGGCGGCAACCTGCGCTCGAGCGCTCCCCCACTGTGTTCCGTGGCCGTCGCGCTCGGCTCGCCTTCCGGCTGGGGAAGCCGCGTAGCCATCGCGGTGATGGGCAGGCTGCCTCTCGGTGAGGCGCACGGCTGCGGTGGCGGGCAAGGCAATGCGGCAACGCGGCTGCGGCAGCTTGCGCGCCGCGCAGCAAGGAGGCGCCGGCAGTGTGCAGCACCACCGCGACGGCGCTACGTGCCCTTTGCAGACACGATGTGCGTGCGGGTTCGGAGCTGAGGCAGCGGCCGGGGTTGAGAGGCCCTGTTAGGGTGCGGCAGTCGGCGTACGACCGATGAGTGGCAGGAGAGGGAGCTGGAGAAGATGAACAGTACGCTGTAACGAAGATGAGAGGCCGGAGAGGGAGCTGGGCCGTTGCAGCTCGGCGGCGCGCGCCCACGCCTGCTCCAGCTTCGCCAGCGCCTCCGCGTCCTCGTGGTACTCCGGCGAGGACATCTCCGCGTGCGCCATGGCCGCAGCTCGCGGCCTGCAGTGCAGGGGCGGCGCGCCTCAGCCTCACGCCACTCGCGCCTCCCGCTTCGTGTGGACGTGGAGTAGCTCTGTAGCTGGGGAAGTGTGTGCGGCGACTGGCGAGCTGCTGCAGCCTCGGTCGGCCATAGACAGAAGTTGGACCAGTGGAGGTTGAGGGAGGGATTTTTTTTAACACTTTTTGTAAATTAATTTTAAATCTAATATTGTTTTTTTTTTGAGTAAAATGCACCGGAGGTCTATTAACTTTCGTTGAGGTGTCATTTAGGTCCATCAACTTAGAAATTGTATTTTTGATCTATGAACTTTTAAAATGGTTCACTGCAGGTCCACGCATGCATGCATGCACGTCGGCTTCGGCCTTCGGTCTTTGCGTGCGTACAGCAGCCACTGCATGGACCACGGGCGGCGGCACCACACATGGACCTCACACGTAGCACGCCACGTGGCGGCGGCGCACAGCAGGCCGGCCCCACAGAGGGAGACCAGCCAGGGCTAGTGTCCGTCGGCTGTGGGGTAGTGTCCGACCGTGGTCGCCCATCGGTCGTGCTCGCCGCCCACGTGAGCCCACGCCGCAAGGCTCTGTGGCTCACCGGCACCATGCATGGCGTGGCGTGCAGAGGATCGGCGCCTGATGGCGGGTGGCCACACCGACACCGCTCCCGTGCTTCGTCGTCGAGGCCGTGCACATTGCTCGCCGCTTACGAGCTGCGCGCGACAAAGAAGAGGCAAGCACACAGCGGTGAGCTTCGCCACCGCGTGTTCACGTTCAGATTCACCTCCCCGCCACATGCCACCTAGCCCCCCGCCGCGTCGTCCCATCGCTCGAGCCACAGCGCAGAGCAAGTTGGCTACACCATCGCCACCCATTGCAGAAGGCACACATGCCGCCTGCTCCACTCACCCTGCCGCGCCATCACTCCTCTGACGCTCCATCGCCTCGGCGCCACCGTCGTCGCAAGCGGCGATGCTTTCGCAAACCAATGCCCATTGCGGTCTTCGC